TACTGTCCTACCAGATTAGTAGTTATGAGTAGAACTAGCTCAATATGTACAGACCTCTATCCAAGAGGTCTTTACTAACTACATGCCTCCAGCCCCTTCAGAACCTGTTCCAATTGTTCTGGAAGTTGCAACCTGTTCTAGAAAGAAAGTGTATGTAGCCTGCCCTTCAGACTTTAATAGGCAGCACTTTAAGGACTTCTAGTACTAAGTTGAATTATACATGGCTACTACTTTGACCAATCTATTCTCAGATCTTGATTGTGTCCTATTTGTCCTCTCCTTTATGAAGGAAGGTAATACAGCCACTTGGGCCTAGAACTGGATTGAAGGCTATTAGATCAGAAGCCTGATCTGACTTTAGAACAATGAGTTGTACTCAGAATTCATAAGGCAGCTCTGTGCTTCCTTCATTAATCTGAATAAGAAGCACAATGTGCAGAACAAGCTTACATCTCTGTGACAGGGCAAACATTCTACTAATACCTTTTTTCAGGAGTTTGATATCCTGGCCTGGAAGGCAGGATTTACACTCAGGTTTAATAATGTTCTTATTAGAATACTTGAAAAAGCTCTTTACTCAGAACTAGTTAATAAGATCCTTAGAATAATACTAGAACTAGTTACTTACACTGAGTAGAAGATGTGTGCCATCTCCTTTGACCAAGCTACAGCTCAGATACATTAAGTCTGTACAGAATGCTTACACATGTATCCAGCTCTGACAGTTCTAAGCCCTTGAATCAATCTGCTCATAATTCACAATCAATCTGTTCTAATAGACATTAGAGAAGCCTGAAAGTAAGGAGCATACTTTGTCTACAGAAAGTCAGGGCACCAGATTAAGGACTGTCTACAGAAGTAATAGTATATTTGTTAGGTCATTAGAGTAATAATGAGTAATGAGTAGGATTTGTAGTAAGAAGCCTTTTCTACAAATCTGGAAGTCACCTCAGAACTCCTAGACCCTAACTACACACTCTAGGATTTTGTAGAGGCCTAATAGTGAATATAGTACTAAAGGGCTATGACTTGGATTTT